GCGCAAGAACCCATCTGTTTGCGCACAAGTAACCTTGCATGACAGTATGTATATATGGCGGCAAACCAAATCGGCTCCGCATGTGGTCCCACGACAGGGGCACACCGATTTTTGAGGTGATTTCTTCTTCGCACACTCAAAACCTATGTCTGTATAAACGTTCTATCTCTTTATATGCACCCCCATACACCCCCTCCCCCGCGGGGCAGGCCCCCGCCATCTTGATGAATTGACAACGCTCCTTGTATATACTTGGTACATGTCCGCCATATCGCGAGCGAGAACCCTCCTCTTTCAAATGTCGGAACCCCACCCAATCCGACGGGGGAACCCTCTGTTGCGCACAAGGAACCTTGCAAGATTCCTCAACTTGAAACCTTGCAAGGCCATACCGTCCTTCTTTATTGGCGGAACCCCACCCAATCCGATTCGGGGAACCATCAGTTGCGCACAAGGAACCTTGATTAACCATATGTATATGGCGGCGACAATCGCCCCGCATGTGGTCCCACGACAGGGGCACACCGATTTGTTGATGTGATTTCTCTTCTTCGCGCACTCAAACCTCTGTCTCTATAACGTTGGAGCTCTCTATATGCACCTCCATACAACCCCCTCCCCCCGCGGGGCAGGCCCCCTCCATCTTGATGATTGATAACGCTCCTTGTATATAGTTGGTACATGTCCGCCATCTCGAGAGCGAGAACCCTCCTCTTATAATGTGGGAACCCCACCCAATCCGACGGGGGAACCCTTTGTTGCGCACAAGGAACCTTGCAAGATTCCTCAACTTGGAACCATGCAAGGCCATACCGTCCTTCTTTATTGACGGAACCGCACCCAATCCGACTCGGGGAACCATCAGTTGCGCACAAGGAACCTTACTTGACCGTATGTATATGGCGGCGAAACAATCGCCCCGCATGTGGTCCCACGACAGGGGCACACCGATTTGTTGATGTGATTTCTCTTCTTCGCGCACTCAAACCTCTGTCTGTATAACGTTGGAGCTCTATATATGCACCTCCATACCCCCCCCCCCCGCGGGGCAGGCCTCCGGATCTGCACGGTTGCCGCTCCCGCGAAGGCAGTGCCGATCTTCGTCGACCTCATCGGCGACGATGAAAACGATGACGACGCCTAGGGCAGCAT